AAAAAGAAACCCTTTTAATGGGATTTTAAGGTTATTATCCTGTATCTTTATTTTTAACGTCTTATTAATATTTATTAAAGCGACGGGAGGCCCCTTTGCTGCAACACAGGAACTGGGAAAAGAAATCTCGCTTCAAAAGCCTTAACCGGAGTTAAGCAGGCCTGTGATGGCCTATTGATATTAATAAAGTTTTTATATTAAAGAATAACAACCCTAAAACTCCATTTAAAAAGGTTCTTGCTTTTGGTTGCTGCGATCCCTGCTTGGACCCTTAGGAAGAACGAAGGAAGTAGGAGGAGAGAGAGGAAAGAACAGAAGGGGAAAAGAAAGGTTGGAGTAAAGGTGAACGTTTACCCAGAGCAGCCCTTAAAAAGTAAAAATGAAAAATGAAAGTTGAAAGGTCGTTTTTTACCAACGGCGATGGGGTTGCACAGGAGACGGACGGAAAGTTGCGCTGACGCTGGGAAGGTCGCTCCGAGAAGCGCCGGTACAGAAAAAATCGGCGACCGTGCTTTTTCTGCCTGCTATTCCTTCTTGGACCACAGGAGGGCACTGTTTTCTCCAGGGTTGCGGAGCTGCCACGGAAAAATCTTAAAATGCCATCGAAAAGGTTTCTTTCTTTTTGGGGCTGCGATACCTGTTTTGACCACAGGAGGGCACAATTTTCTGCACCTTAGTCATAACTTTGAACTCATGGGACGGAAAACTGTGCCCTCGTGTGGCCAAAACGGGTATCGCGGCTGCAAAAAGAAACCCTTTTAATGGGATTTTAAGATTATTATCCTGTACCTTTATTTTTAACGTCTTATTAATATTTATTAAAGCGACGGGAGGCCCGTTTGCTGCAACACAGGAACTGGAAAAGAAATCTCGCTTCAAAAGCCTTAACCGGAGTTAAGGAGGCCTGTGATGGCCTATTGATATTATTAAAGTTTTAATAATAAAGAATAACAACCCTAAAACTCCATTTAAAAAGGTTCTTGCTTTTGGTTGCTGCGATCCCTGCTCGGACCGCACGAGGGCTCTGTTTTCTGTCAACGTTAGCGTGGAGGCCGTTGTAGACCTTTTGACCTCAGCTTAAGGCTTTTGAAGCAAGATTCTTTCTTTTTCCCCGTTATGTAGCTCCTGGGCCTCCCGTTGCTCTATTAATATTAATAAAGCTTTTAATAATAAAGAGACAGAATAATAATCTTTAAATGCTATTAAAAAGGTTTTTTTTTCTGGCTGCTATATCTGCTTGGGCCACAGGAGGGCACTGTTTTCTGTCCCTTAGCGATAGCTTTGAAGGTATCGAGATAATACTTTATCGTGGTGGTAGGCTGTGTGGAGAACCCTAACCCTAACCCTAAACCCTAACCCCTAACCCCGACCTTTGACCCTGACCTTTGACACCCCCTGACCTTTAACCTTTGACCTTTGACCTCTGCCTCCCAGCGATTTACCTCCTTTCAGCAAGCAACAAGAAGAAACAGCCCATTTCAGCTTCAGCACAGCCTAATTAGCACAACTTGATTGGATCCGCAGCCCGACTCTCAGCTGTTTTGCCTCGCCTCTGCTGCTTGCTGCAAAGAGGTAAATGGCTGGGAACAATTTTTTTTTTTGTGCTACTCAAGCTATGTTGAAAATAAAAATGAAAGTAAAGCAGCCTATTTTGCTGTAACGAGGCAAAATTGCTGACAGGAAGAGGCAGATTTCTTTTTCTTGTTTTCCTCACCAAAAAAGGGAGGTGCATCTTATAGTCCAGAGCATCTTATACTCCAAAAATTACAGTATATGCCGTTCGTCTCCCTGATAAGACGACTGTCTTATCAGGGAGACTGTGGCAGGCTACAGGCAATCTTCTCCGCAGCGTAAGAAGACAGAAGGATGCGTTGAATTTGACACCACCGATTTCCCTACGAAGCCTCTGCAATAGCACTTGCCCGCAAAACCCCCAGATTACAAGACTGGGGCTGTTCGTCTTAGAAAAAGAGCCACGTGCTGAGGTGCAGACGTGAAGGGGAGGATGCCGTTCTCCCCCTCAAAACTGCAGTCCTAACGGATCAGGACAGGCCAAAGAAAGTCTTTCCTCAAGAAATTAGCGTTAATGTACAGAATCTGCTTCCGTGGGGACGAGGTGATGGCCACCGACCTCAATGGACTGAAAGGGGGGACGATGGAGGGGACTGTTTGTCATGAGGCTACGTGCTGCCTGGGGCGATGAGGGCTAGATGCTTGAGCTGAAGGAGGCTTTCCTGTCCTACTACTTGGGCTTTCAACCGGTCCGATGGAAAGCAAAATCCGAGCGGGCTTTAACTGATAAGAGTGTCAAGACTGCCGCTGGAGATTCGGAGGGCAAAGGAGCCAGAGTGGCCTAGCGGAAGAGGTGGTGGAGGACGGAGGCGGTCCCTCTGACTAGGGACGGGTGCAGGGAGGAGAATGGGACCGAGGGGCCGGTCCTTGGAAGTGGATGGCTGCAACCGGTAAGAGAATGGGGTTCCCGCGCTTTTGAATATTTCAATTTACTGAGAAGAAACAGCTACGGTATCTTATATAAGCCGTAAGCAGGTGATGGGTCCAGCTGAAAAATCTACATGGACAAAAATGTGTAAACTGCAAAATACAGGTATAATTTTATTTACGGTCTAATATAGTATTAACAATTATAGGCAATCTGGCCTGACTATTTGCACTGAAATAGGAACAACTCCTTCTCTCAAAGTATATCCCCAAAGGACAGCTATCAGGGAGATATGCCGGTACTGCTCTATCCCTCGTGATCGCTTTAGAGGTGCGATTGGCCTCTGCCTTGAAAGATCCTGGATCCCGGGGTCTCCCCGGTTGCTGTGTCACAGCTGGATACTCACGGATTGGTGCGTGAAGGGCCACGTGTTCCTGGGATGGCGTGGAGTACTTGTACTGCTTGCCACAGAATTTACAGGTATAGTTGCCTGTTTCTACAAAGTAAGAAAACAATTTTCGGAAGGAGAAAAGGTTTTCCCAAAAACCCTTGACCCAAACGTGGATCTCAATTCAGAGCGTAGCAGGCTAGATGTTTCCCACGTGACCTCGTGAGATGAGTTCCAAGTTTTCTTGACCGAGGGGGCCCTGGGCGCCCACCTTCGTGTTAACTGTTTCCTCTGTTTTGCCCCAGCTCTCTTTCCTGGAGAGAGGCTGAAAAGACACGGCTGCTACAGAGGCTAGACTTCCTTTTGCAGAAGTAGCGTTTGGGAGTGGGCTGTATAAACCGTCGCAGACAGCAAAGGCCAAGTCGCGCTCTCATCAGCGCTTACGAGGGGTATCATCTCAGATCGTGATCGATTTCTAGTTTTAATATCGCTCCCCACCCTCAATTTCACCCTATTCCCGAAGAAAACATGGTAACGTACTTTTTTTTATCCCAGAGGACAATACTTAGACGATATCTTCCCCTTTAATGAAGAGCTCTTTGTGAATTCTAAAATTAAGTCATGAGAAATGCAAGTGGAATGTTTTTCCTAGGTCTGAATATAATTATAAATTATAAATTATAAATAACGTGCGCTTAATTCCTTCTCTTTGCAATAAAGTATTTACATCTAAATACTTTGGCCAAATTGGATTGTTTTAACCAGATGCTTATAAAAGTATGTAACGTTAAGCGAGAATAATTTTATAATTCCCCGACTCAACCGTGTTTGTTTCTTCTCTATGTCAAACGTGGAAGATTAACTTTTTGGTTTACTTAGGAGTGCTATTTGCAAGCAGGTTGCTTGTCTCCTGACGGATGGCCGCAGTCCGAGTTCGAGCTGTTGCTTTGCGTGCAAAAGGTCCAGGTTCACCCCTGCGTTTCCAGGGAAGGGCTGGGAAAAACCCCTCTACTTGAACGGATGTTCAGAGCCCTGCAGCCGGTCCGTGCCGATAGTCGTGGGACGGATGGACCGACGAGCAGACCTGATACCGAGCGGCTTTCGGGCATCCTGGGAGTTATTCTGCCTGCTACGCCTTTGAAAACCTAGCGGTTGCTATCGGTGCTCCTTAAACAAACTCCGGTGAAACATACATCCGAGGAAGATTTTCCGACGTGTCACCAGCCATGCCCACAGGAATGGAGTCCGGGTCCCGCACGGGCAAAGAATGTGCTCTTTCTGTTGGACTAGTGAGAGCTTCCTGCCTTTGCCAGAAACGCTCCATCCGTGGCTTGGGCCTCAAACCTCAGCTCTGAAACGCTGAAAGCTAGTGAATGACTTAAGTTGCAAACTCGGTCAATCGTACTTGGACCGATCTTCTGAAAGGGCTCGGGCTCCTCTTCTTTCACCTCCTCCTTGGCAATCGTTGCTTGGTCGTAGGGGTCTGCGAGAGGAGAGAAGGAGGAGAGAGCTGATCGGGGCGTGTGGAAACGCCTCCCTGGCTTTATCCCTCGGGCCCTGCTCTCATCCTTAGTCTTAAATAGACTAACATACATTTCACACGTGTATGGTATTTTTACTGATTATATTTTTCTTGATAATCTCCCTATTAAAGTGACTAATAATAAGATGCGTGTTTCCAATTCGGGATATAAAATTTGCACTTATGATTTCTTTTTAAAGTGTGACAACTTGATTGCAAAAAACTGCAGTCGTTCTTAACAAGAGTCAGACTGCTTCCAAAAAGCAACACGACCGGCCTACCTCTACCAAGAGGCCCCGAGACTCTCCTATCCACCAAACAGGCGCTCTTTCTCCCGACGGAGTGGATTAATATCTGCACATACCCACGGGTGCTTCAAACTGCAACACGGCAGGGCTTCCGGCTCCATTCTCCATCCGTTGAGCATTCGCCCGAATGCTCCTTGGTCAAAGACTTCCTAAAGGGTTGGAATCGTTGAGCCAGAAGTTTCTATTGGCTGAAACTTTATTGCCAAAAGTTGTATGGTATTATGTCTCTAAACGAGCTGGGTATATGTAGATAAGCGCACACACAACAACAACAACATTCTAATGGTTTCCCTTGGATTTTGATTTTTTGCATCACCCAATGGTGTCAACGGCCCTGCACAAAAGCTCCCCTCCCCAGCTTCTTTCCATAAAATGCAGGCCGGGGTTACCTGCGAAGAGCTCTAAGCGATAACTAAAGGTCCTGAGAACGGGTGCCGGAGCCTGCAGGCTTGCCTGTCCCGTGCCTCCTTTCCCTTCCCTTGGGAGGAGATGGGAAGCTCTAGTCCCGTGATGGTGAACCTGTGGCATGCGGAGCCATATTGGTGGGCACGCGAGTGTTGCCCTAGCTTGTTGTGGATTTAATAAGACAAACACAACTTTTGGATTAATCAGAGACAATTTGTATATTGCGCAATAGGTTCAAAGCTCTGTACGTGAAGCGTTGAACAAAGACAGAAATTAGGTACAATGGTTTTATACCCTTCTAGACAAAGGATTCTGTTAACTCAGCAATTCATATGGTCATATACATTTGTCATTTTTAACTGACATTTCCTAATTACTGAGTTTCTTTGCAAAACAGTTATAATTCTTTTTGTAGATTACTGAAGCATAGACTCAAATCATCTTCTGACGATAGACAACTTTTAACTCATGTGGATCCCCTTGACCTAACCAACCTTTAAGCTGTATGTCATTAGAATGTTCCTTTCTTCTGACAACTTACAGGCCTCCTAGAGCAGTGGTTCTCAACCTGTGGGTCGGGACCCCTTTGTGGGTCGAATGACCCTTTCACAGGGGTCGCCTAAGACCATCGGAAAACACATATTTTCAATGGTTTTAGGAATAATTTTATGGTTAGGGGTCACCACAACATGAGGAACTGTATTAAAGGGTCGCGGCATTAGGAAGGTTGAGACCCACTGTCCTAGAGGAACCAAAATTTTGGCTGAGTTGTACTTTTTCCAACCGGATGCATTGCTTTTTAGAATCGAGTGAATAGAAAGTTATCCAGTGGTCATCTATCAGAGCCCGCTTCATTTACATTAAGCTCAACTCCAGCGTGCATGCACATGTTGGCCAACTGATTCCGGTCCCACCGGAAGTCAGGAAACGAGACGAAACAAAACCCTAACCCTAAACCCTAAAAGATTGAACTGGAAAGGGAAACGACAGGAGAGAGGGGAAGGGAGAACAGAGGACACGAGAGAACAGGAGAAAGAAGAAAGGGGAAAGGAAAGGAAGAAAAGGGAGGGGAAAGAGGAGTAGAGGAGTGGGGGAAGGGAAGGGGAAGTAGGAAAGAGAAGGAGAGGAAGAACAAAGGAAAAACGAAGGAAGTAGGAGGAGAGGAAGGAAGAGAAGGGGAGAAGAAAGATTGGAATAAAGGTAAAGGGTAAAAGAGCAGCCCTGAAAAAATAAAAATGAAAGTTGAAAGGTCGTTTTTTTCCAACGGCGATGGGGGTTGCACAGGAGACGGACGGAAAGTTGCGCTGACGCTGGGAAGGTCGCTCCGAGAAGCGCTGGTACAGAAAAAGTCGGCGACCGTGCTTTTTCTGCCTGCTATTCCTTCTTGGACCACAGGAGGGCACTGTTTTCTCCAGGGTTGCGAAACTGGCACAGAAGAATCTTAAAATGCCATCGAAAAGGTTTCTTTCTTTTTGGGGCTGCGATACCCGCTTTGACCACAGGAGGGCACAATTTTCTGCATCTTAGCGATAACTTTGAAGTCACGGGACGGAAAACTGTGCCCTCGTGTGGCCAAAACAGGTATCGCGGCCGCAAAAAGAAATAAACCTTTTCGATGGCATTTTAAGATTCTTCTGCGCCGGCTCCGCAACCCTGGACAAAACAGTGCCCTCCTGTGGTCCAAGAAGGAATAGCATAACAACCCTAAAACTCCATTTAAAAAGTTTCTTTCTTTTTGTGGCTGCGATACCTACTTTGACCACGGGAGGGCACAATTTTCTGCACCTTAGCGATAACTTTGAAGTCATGGGACGGAAAACGGTGCCCTCGTGTGGCCAAAACAGGTACTGCGGCTGCAAAAAGAAACCCTTTTAATGGGATTTTAAGGTTATTATCCTGTATCTTTATTGTTAACGTCTTATTAATATTTATTAAAGCGACGGGAGGCCCCTTTGCTGCAACACAGGAACTGGAAAAGAAATCCCGCTTCAAAAGCCTTAACCGGAGTTAAGGAGGCCTGTGATGGCCTATTGATATTAATAAAGTTTTAATATTAAAGAATAACAACCCTAAAACTCCATTTAAAAAGGTTCTTGCTTTTGGTTGCTGCGATCCCTGCTTGGACCCTTAGGAAGAACGAAGGAAGTAGGAGGAGAGAGAGGAAAGAACAGAAGGGGAAAAGAAAGGTTGGAGTAAAGGTGAACGTTTACCCAGAGCAGCCCTTAAAAAGTAAAAATGAAAAATGAAAGTTGAAAGGTCGTTTTTTACCAACGGCGATGGGGGTTGCACAGGAGACGGACGGAAAGTTGCGCTGACGCTGGGAAGGTCGCTCCGAGAAGCGCCGGTACGGAAAAAATCGGCGACCGTGCTTTTTCTGCCTGCTATTCCTTCTTGGACCACAGGAGGGCACTGTTTTCTCCAGGGTTGCGGAGCTGCCACGGAAAAATCTTAAAATGCCATCGAAAAGGTTTCTTTCTCTTTGATACCTGCTTTGACCACAGGAGGGCACAATTTTCTGCACGTTAGCCATAACATTTTCAGTCATGGGACGGAAAACTGTGCCCTCGTGTGGCCAAAACAGGTATCGCGGCCGCAAAAAGAAATAAACCTTTTCGATGGCATTTTAAGATTCTTCTGTGCCAGTTCCGCACCCTGGAGAAAACAGTGCCCTCCTGTGGTCCAAGAAGGAATAGCATAACAACCCTAAAACTCCATTTAAAAAGTTTCTTTCTTTTGGTTGCTGCGATCCCTGCTTGGACCGCACGATGGTGCTGTTTTCTGTCAACGTTAGCTTTTCCAACAGAGGAAAATAAATCCTGCTTCAAAAGCTTTAAACCGAGTTAAGAAGACCTATGATGGCCTATTAATATTAATGTTTTAATAATAAAGAATTATTACCTTAAAACGCCGTTAAAAGTTTATTTCTTTTTGTGGTTGCTATATCTGCTTGGTCCGCAGAAGCATCGAGATATTACTTTATCGTGGTAGTAGGAAGTAGGGGGATGACAATGAAATTCGGACAGGAAGCCAGCCGTGATGGAAAGGTCGTTTGTCAATGGCAGTGGGGGTCGGCGACGGTGAACGGACAGGAAGTCCGCCGTGCCGAGAAGGCCGCTGCGCAAGGAAGTTGGAGGGATGACTGAGAAGGATGGACCGGACGTCGGCCATGGCAGGAAGGTCCTTTTCCAAAGGCACTGGGGGAGGGTCGCGATGAACGGACAGGAAGTCCGTCATGCCGGGAAAGCCTTTTGGAGAGATCTGAAGAGGAAGCCGGTGGCCACGCGAAAAAAGGCCAACGGAAGCGGCTCGTCCCTTTCAGAGGAGCGTAGAGTAGCGGTGCTTTTGCTGCCGCTCTGCACTTTGGAGCTTCGCTTCTCGACGATCCTGGGTAAAAGTGGAGGAGGAGACGTTGACGTTGCCTTCCCTGTTTTATTTTTTCCTAAATAAAACGTAATTGTGCGTGAAATTGTTTTTATCTTTTTTCCCCAGAACGTCTGTTGAGCAAACAATATTGGGTCAAATTCACCTGAACCTCCCCTTTTATCAAGGCCTTTTGCAACACTAAAAATCAGGCGACCTCTCTTAAAACCCGTATTTCTAACCACGATGATAGGTTTCCGTGGGGTTAAGCAGGCCCTACGAGGCTACGGCACGTTACCGTAACTGTCGAGAGGGTTTCGTTCTGCCCACCCTCCCTGCGACAAATGACAGGTCGACCCTTTTGTCCGGGATTAAATTGTGGATGATGGGTTTTATCGGCAGGAGACCTGAAGTGAAGTTACAGATGGATCTAATTTGTATGCTGCCTATCTCGGTATGAAGCGATTCTGGGTCTTCCGTTCAAACACCCACCGTGGCTTCAACCTCGAAGAGGGGAGCTGATCGCCCACCTGCCTCCTTCCCTGAACTGGCCAGCTTGCAGCCTCCCGCCTCGTCCCCGCCCTCTGCTACTGCTTCCACGCTGGCTCCCGGGACTTGCTCTAGGCAAACGCTGAGGTTATTTTCAGGGCTACTTTGTGCAGGAAAGTTTCCTTTATCCCAGGAACACCGAGACGCAATCTCTCTGATGGGTAGGGTTCTCCTTCCTAGGTAGGAGAACTTTTTTTGTGTGTTTCTCAGGTCTTGTAGAAAACGCCTCAACCGTGCAGCGGCTCAGCCTTCTCTCTTCCAGCTATGTAGTTGCTTTGGGTCGCTCTGCAGCGCCCTTGTAAATGCACGTGGCGTCAGAGAAAGCACCCTTTGCTCCTTCAGCATTGGCCGCTGATATGAGGGCAGCTATGACAAAAGGTTAAGCCTGTAGTAGCTAACGGGCTGGCTCCCAGAGTTGCCGCTTGTCCGCTCCCAGCCTTGAGAGCAAGAGGGTAGGAGTCAGTCAGCCTTGCTTGATGTTCTCCGCTGGCCTGGTCAATGCTTTTGGCTCCTTACCACGAAATGACGCTTTGAAATACCAGCACAAGCAAATAGGTTAATAGCTATATAAGATTTTAATACCTGTAATATTTAATCCGCTGGTGGTTTCCGTTTCTCTTTAAGTCATTTTAACAAAGTAGCAACGGAGTTCATTATTCTGACGCCTTGGTTGTATTACAGCCATCTCAGGGTTGCTACGGTGCACTAGAGGCCACACGTGGAAAATAGTGTACAGTTCTGGTCACCGTGATACAAAAAAAGACATCGAGGCCCATGTGACCGTGAGGAAGCTGCAGCAGTTGCAAAGGAGCCCAAACACACTGCGGCAACTCAGAACAGCAGAAAAAGGAGACGGGGCATCTATGCAACACAAGGAAGGTTGCTCCGAAGGAAAGTGGGGGGCGGCTCGGAGGGCAGACAAGAAGCAGGCCGTTCTGAGCGGAAGTGGGAGAGGGCCCCAGAGGCGGCCACCCACCCTCTCGGGAGGAGCCTCAGCCACTGAGGTTTCGGCCACTGCCCTCCCTGCCCTTCGGGGCTCCACTCGGGAGACTGCCGGGCAGGGACGGTGTGGCCGAGGCACTGTCGAGACGTTGCTCTCCCCGGTTTTGCTTTCCGAACGGTAAAATATAATTGTGCAAAACAGTATCTTTACCTTGTTTTCTGTAGTTCGGTTAGGGAAACTATATTACTACAAAGCTTTTATTTTCCCATTTGCAAATAGCTGGCGTGACCTGCTAGTGTGGGGGTCTCTCTGAGATGGACCCTCGATAAGGAGGAGGAAGGCTCGGCTCTTGGTCTCTACAAAAAGATGCAAATGAATCGCCTTTTGAAATGCCGTCACGTCAGAAAGGAAACATCTGCAACTGAGCGTTCTTGTACTGTGCCCACTCGCCCCGCCCCCCAATTTACGTCCATCCTTGGATGCTGAATTGCCCCCCTAGTTAACTGCTAACCGTTTAACAGCCAGCAGGCAGTCACATACACCAGACAAGGAAATGGGCAATTTTTTTTCAACATCTTATAAAAAACAATTTTATTATGCAAATGTAGGATGTGGGCTAATTCCCCAGCTCCTAACCTGCTGTACATTTTTCCCAGGGGTACTAACTACACCCTCCTGTGCTCTGGAGTCTATGACTCAGTGCTGTTTTTTTTTTCCTCTCCCCTTTTCCTGGGGGTGTCTTTGCTCGCTGACTAATGTTCAAACAAAACTACAGAACTGGGAAAAAACAAAAAGACGAGGGTTGTATTGTTTTAAAGGTGGAAGGCTTTGGAAGAGAAGACTTGGCTGATAAATGACTACTGTTGCTTTTTAAATTTCGGCTTGAGTTCTTCCAGACAGCGTGGCAGGAAAGTTTGGAGAGTGCGCGTCAAATGTTTTTAGTCCAAAGCCAAAAATTAAAATCAAAACCTCTGTTATTTGGATCTGAAAAATATTTCCTTTAATGGTATGCATCTTACTGTGAGGAATTTGTGGGGATGAAGGCGAGGGGGCTCAGAGTCTAACGTTTCTGCTCAGTCCTTGCTCTTTACGTCACACACCAGAAATGTGAGAAGGGGCTCCAGAAAAGGCCATCAGTCTGTGGGTTCTAGGACTGACTCGCTCAGAGCCAGATCCCAATAATGCTCAGTGCCGTGTTTTTTAAAATGCTCCCGTGCCATGTTTTCGGTAGGACACTGCTTGAATTTCATCTCGCCAAAGCTCCGCTCCTTTGCCGTGCCCTAAGAGGACAAAGAGAGGGCAGGAGAGATTCTCAGCAAGCCAAGGGTTGCCTTACAGGCCCTCTAAACGATGCGTTGACTGGCGGGTCACATAATGCACTAAATCCCTTTTTCCTTACCCGTGGCTCACTGGGGAAGCCCTGAGGGATTGGTTGAGCACAACATGCTAAAACCGTAAACCGTGGCTTACGAGCCACAGCTAGCTAAAAAGTGGGAGATGTCAGGAATCAAAGAAAAAGGGGGGGAGGGAGTTCTGAAGGACCAATCCTACAGAGCACCCACCGTTGGGATCCTCCGGGTGTTTCTCGGTCCTGTCGCTAAAGGGGCATAATAAAAAGCAGGATTTTCTTAGTATGACCGAGAACCACCTAATACCTCAGTTGGACCATAAATAATACTCACCTCCCAAACCAGAGAACATTTGTTGGTTTTTTTCACAGATTCCTCATCAGATTCATCATCGTCTGCAAGAAAAATAAACTGCTTAGGGTGTAAGAATGGGGAAACGACTGAAGATGGATTTGTCTATTCAAAAGCATGTTCGAAATCAGATCGGAAACATCCTTTATTCAAACGGAAGGTGAAAATTCTGCCGTTTCTTTAGAAAAGTCAGGATATAGATCTTTCTGAACTCAGTAGCTCATGGGAAGAAGTGAACTTCCCCGACTTCCTTTTAGTCTTTCAATTTTTGAACCAGCTCCGTGTAAGGGATGGCTGCTCCTTCCTGTTATTTTATTACTTTAAAAGTGCTGTAAGTCGACTTTCTTCTTAGGAGAACCAAGAAACTAATGGTGAAATAGATTTATACAAATCTATTCAATAGAATACAACAGCTGATAGAACAGAATCTTTTAAACCTAAAAGCAGCCACTCAAAGTTCGTTCTTCGATGTGTTCCTGACCGGGGAACTTCTCTGATTCTCCAGGACTTTGGAAGGAAGCTGGGTGCAGGAGTTCAGTGTTTCGTTTGAAAACCCCAAAAGAAGAAATGGCTTTTCTCTCTTTTCGACATCTTCAGAAGACGATGCTGGCGGTGGGGCCTGGAGCATCTTGCCTTCCGTTTTCTTACAGATGCTATTTCTGTGATCTGTTCTGCAGATGGACAGAATCTTCCTTTCTGTGTCTGCATCCCTTCCAAAAAAAAATGTCTGCATGCCTTCCAAAAAAACATACTGGGCAGTGCTTAGAGCCAGATGCAGCCTTCCTTAACCCCCAACCTTGCCTCCTCCTCCACCACCTGTCCTAGTGGGGCCCTTGCCAGAGCTTGCAGGATGTGCTTCGAGCGTATCACCTTGCAGAGTTATTTTTAAGTTTCAGCATTTTGGCAGCTCAGTCGATCGCTTTTATTTACTTAATCTCAGTAAACGTTTCCAGGCTAGGCCCGTAGCAGAAGTGCACTTCCTTACCGTCTCCTTTTGTGTTTGACGTCTGCTCGTCCCATTTTATTCGATATAACATGAGCCGCTTAAATTTCTTCTGTGCTTTGGGACCTTGGAAAGAAGGCAGAAAAGGCAGAACTGACAGGCAGCGTGGCAACAAGTGATGAAGCACAACTTCATAAACACAACTGGGAGGGGGACTGAACTCCTGATCCTTAAGAAAGCACCTGTGCCAGGTGGCCCCCTCGTGGTCACAACCATAAACTGAGGCCAACTCTCAAAAGAAAAGCCAGAGACATCCCAAAGACTTGGCCTACCCTGACATAATGGCCTGAAACCAGTTTTGTTTGTTAACTGCAAGTTGCGCAAAGTGACTCTATTTTTTTTACTGCTGCCTGCTCTGCTGATGGACAGAACCTTCCTTTCTGTGTTCTGCATCCTTTCCAAAAAAAAAACCCAAGAACCATCGTTGCCTTAATCCAGGTGCAGCCTTCCTGAATCCCCAACCCTGCCTCTTCCTCCTTCTCCTCCTTCCGGAACAGGGCAGGGTACACAAACTGCCTGGGCCTGCTGGAAGTTTTAGCTTCTTAGAAATGCAGAGCATGATACATTATACAACCCGGCCTACTCGCCCATCCTCTTACCTCCTTCTACCACCACCACATTGACATCTTTATGTAAAACCACAACTCCAGTTAAGTACAACTGGCTGGCGTTAGCTTCAATTTTGAATTTCTTTGCTGGGTTACCTAGATTCCGGACTCTGTGGGCAAAAGAACGGAA